CATTTTAAAATTTTCAATCTCTTATTACAGTTGTCTTTCTAGCCATTTGGCATCTCCTACTGATTCTGCCTTCACATTGCCTTTCACATCTATATGCTGCTTTGCAGAGCTACTACCAGGCCTTCATTAGCTATCCAGGTGATGGCAACAGCTTCCCGTTTTCTGTGCCTTACCCACCAACAATTTGGTTTCTCAGCTTTCCATTACTGTCTTACCCAGTCAAGTTTTCTACATATTGCTGCTTATTATTATTATTATTATTTGTGTTGCTCATTTCTCATTGTATTATTCCCCTGCTTCAATTTCTCTGCTAGTTTTAAAGGCCTTCTGCCTTTTGGCCCTAATTTGACTTACCAGGTCAACTCACTACTATATTACTCCTAAGGAACAATTTACCATTTTCAGAATATGTTTCAGTAGCTTCCCTCAACAATGCTTTTGTTTATGTTGTGTGTATTTTTTTTTTTTTAAAGAATAGTTTATTGACTTTTAGAGAGAGAGGAAGGGAGAGGGACAGGGAGAGAAACATGAATATGAGAGCATATCCTCAATTGGCTGCCTCCTGCATACCCCCCACTTGGGATCTAGCCTGCAACTGGGGCTTGTGCCTTGCCTGGGAATCAAACCAGCAACCTTTAGGTACACAGGATGACGCCCAACCAACATGGTTGTTTATATTGTTTTTAAATCCAACATAATTTTTTTTTTCTTTTTTTATGAATTTTTATTTATTTTTTTGGTACAGATATTTTACCTTTTAACCCCATTGGCACCCCCACCCTACCCCCCCTCCACCCTGTCCCCGGCTTAGTAATCCATGTCCATTGGTCATGCATACATGCATATAAGTTCTGTGGTTTATCTCTTCCCACTCCCCAACCCCCCATCCCCTCTTCTGAGGGATGTCAGTCTGTGCCCTACTTCCATGTGTCTGGGTCTACTGTATTCCTCAGACTGTTACAACATAATTTTTTTTAATCTTAAGTCTATTAAGAGTTTTATTCTTGTAGCATTTATTACATTCTGTCTTTTTTTTTTTTTATCCTCACCTGAGGACATTTTTCCATTTTTTGTGCAGATAGAGCGGGAGGGAGAGAGAGGAAGAGGGAGAGAGAGAGAGAAACATCGATGTGAAGGGACACATTGAGTGGCTGCCACCTTCACGACCAACCAGGGCCGGGGACAAACTGCAACCGAGGTACGTGCCCTTAGCGGGAACCGAACCCAGGTCTCTCTGTACCACAGGCCGACGCTCTAACCGCTGAGCCAAACCGGCCAGGGCTAGAAAGTAGTCTTGAAATTACTTTGTTGACTAAAGTGCTACTGAGCACCTATTTTCTTATACTTTTAGGTTTTCACTTTTAAGTCTAATCTTAGTTCAATGAGGAGGTTGATTTTTAAGATCCAGAGAACTGAAATTTTCCTATAGTTTTATTTGGGCTATTAAAAATTGACCTGCCCTGGCCGGTTTGGCTCAGCGATTAGAGCGTCGGCCTGCGGTCCCGAGAGACCCGGGTTCGGTTCCCGCTAAGGGCACGTACCTCGGTTGCAGTTTGTCCCCGGCCCTGGTTGGTCGTGCGGGTGGCAGCCACTTGATGTGTCCCTTCACATCGATGTTTCTCTCTCTCTCTCCCTTCCTCTCTCTCCCTCCCACTCCATCTGAACAAAAAATGGAAAAATGTCCTCAGGTGAGGAAAAAAATAAAAAATAAAAATAAAAATAAAACAAAAAACAAAAAAACACATTCTGTCTTTTTAAAATAGATATTGCTTTACTTTTTAATATATTGATTCTAGATTTTAAACTCTAAGGGTAATGACTTTATTCCATATGAATATGAGTATTTGCCATAATGCCTTCCACATTGTAAGAATTAAAGTGTTAATTGCATTACAGAGCTTACTTAAATGTACAATCATAAAATATAAGAAAACCGAAAGTTTTATTGACTAGAAAGTAGTCTTTTTTTTTTTTGGTTCAGATAGAGCGGGAGGGAGAGAGAGGAAGAGAGAGAGAGAGAAACATCGACGTGAAAGGGACACATCGAGTGGCCGCCACCCGCATGACCAACCAGGGCCGGGGACAAACTGCAACTGAGGTACGTGCCCCCAGCGGGGGCTGAACCCGGGTCTCTCTGTACTGCAGGCTGACGCTCCAACCGTTGAGCCAAACCAGTCAGGGCTAGAAAGTAGTCTTGAATTTACTTTGTTGACTAAAGTGCTACTGAGCACCTATTTTCTTATACTTTTAGGTTTTCACTTTTAAGTCTAATCTTTAGTTCAATGAGGAGGTTGATTTTTAAGATCCAGAGAACTGAAATTTTCCTATAGTTTTATTTGGGCTATTAAAAATTGACCTGCCCTGGCCGGTTTGGCTCAGCGGTTGGAGCGTTGGCCTGCGGACCAGAGATCCCGGGTTCGGTTCCTGCTAGAGGCACGTACCAAAAAATAAAAAAAATAGACCGTATACCTAAAAAATGACTTATGATGAAGTATGAATATCATTTTGTTAAAGAAGCATAATTGTAAATAATTCAAATTTTATAATAGGTTGAACATATGTGGAGTACTAGTTGGTAGAATAATAACCTCCTTAAATTAACCAACGGAACATAAGAGAAAAAAAGTTTTATATGTCGTTGAGCTCATCTTTGGTCAGTTTTTAAAATAATACTTCCTATTTTTGTAGTTTTGAAGAATTAACCTACTTAACTAATAGAAATTGATATCTTTGTTTGTGATATGTGATATATGGATAGAAAAACATAATTTTAAGGAGGATTCCCACATTGAATTTACTGTTATTTCTATTGCTTTTGCATTTAAAAATTTCATTCTAATATGAAAAATTGCCATTAATGCTTTTTTTAGTGAGGTAACTTGAAATTGAAAAATTTATACATGATCATAACAATCATGAGGAAAAAAAATTCACCTTTTCATAGAACAAACATTTAACATAAACATTGTTCTATCTCTTGTTCTCTCTTTTCAACTGAGGTCAGTTATTGCAAACGTGTGTGTTTTTTAAAAAGCTGAACTTATACATATGATTTTGATTGACATATTACATACTATTCAACATTAAAAATCTATTGTGTGGTAAATATGATTTTTCTTTCTTGTAAATCAGTGGGTACGCTTTTGTATACCTGAAAGATCATTACAAGTGGGTAGAAATGCTTGTTAGTTGTCTGTTTAAGTATAAAGTGTAGAAATAATAAGAGTTTAGAGGACAGCATTATAATATTTGCCATTTATTTCTTATGTTGATAGATTACTTATTACAGAGAACAATAGGGCTTGAAAGCTGTTTAGGTAAATATATTAGAAAAATTTTTTAACTGAGTTCTTTGGCATGCATATAGACTTAAAGCTTAAAAATATTTAAAACAGGGTTTTCTCTTAATATAAAATCTAAAGATAGTCTAATTTTTTATTAAGATTGTAAAACTAAATATTAAAATTCTAATTTGTGCTTGGAAGTCCAACTATAAAATTTGTTTAAAATATTTACTATTAATATGTTAGCAGATACTCTATGCCAAACATATTTATCAAATGACAATTTTGTTAATGTGTGTGTCTATGAATTCTTAATTTGTCTTCAGGGTTTCGAAAAATAAGTCTTATGCTGCATTTTGTCAAATTGAAGCATTTCTTTAATTCTATAAAAGAGTAGGAAATAAGTAGTAAAGAAGGTAAGTTCGGCTTTGCCGAGATTTGACATTGTTAGCATTATTATCAGAAGTAAATCACAATTAAATTTGTTATGTAACCTCAGGGAATTCAAGCTATTACATGGTGCTCATTTCCCCAAGGATTAGGGTATTCACTAAACTTGACTGGTTGACTCTAATTTATTTACATAAAAGTGATATATTATTGAATTGTTGGTTGTAAAATTTAATTAAAAATGAGTTGCTAGTTGATTTAGTGAATGCAGTGCTAAAAAAATAGAATAGAAATTGTCCAGTTAACCAGTTATAAGGTAGCAAGTATTTGCCTCCTTTAAGTAATTTATTGCTGTTTTTCTGATACGTGATACTTGGCACTCATGGGTAGATTATTAGATGATTACAATTGGAAAATGTTTGTTTGGCAAGAATTCCCAAAGCTGATATCTATGGTTAGGATTAGTAATTTTGTAGTTTTCTAAAATGAATTGAGGATTGGAGACAAAATGCTTAAAGTTAAGTGGTGTAGAGTAAAACAAATTGAAAGGTTTATTGCCACTTTAAAGATTTTCGGAGTAGAAATAGAACTACTGTATTTTGAAATAGTTGGGAGCTATGATAGGGTAGAAATGTTGTGTATATTGTATTACTCTGAAGTTGCTATGTATCTAAAATTAGAAATAGTTGGCTTTGTTAAGCTTTTCTACACTAATATAGTCCTTTCCCCCCCTTGTATTCAGATTTTAATAGTTAACTTTTATTACACAAAAAGGAAAACTTGAATAAAGTTATTTTAATGCACTGTTTTTGCCAGCAGACTGTATCAATTCCCAGGCATTTGGCTTAGACTGAAACCAAGGGACAAAGGAAGAAAGAGACTGGTGCTTTAGTTTTTTACCTTCTCTTTATTGTCAAGAACATTTATATAGTATTAGCATAATGCCCTTGTTTTTAAAAGGTCAATCTCTTTTTCATAATAAACTTGAATTTAAAAGTTTTCCTATCTTGGTGTGCATATACAGGTTATCTATTTTTGGTTCTTGAATATTAAAATCTTGATAAACCCTACAATTTCTACATTTACAAAAAGGATAAAGGGTTCTACATGGGTCATTATTTTTGGTGCATCAAATATTATAGCAAGTTGACTATACTAGAAAACAATATAGTGGTACAGAAAATATTGGATTGTTTTGATTGTTTGGAGCTGTAATTTTGGTTGTTATGTTAAAATGCTATTCCAGTTGTCATTATAGAAATATATCTGTAGTTTGTGGCTTAGAAACAATATACTTTATTTTTAAAAAACCCAAGGATACCTGTGTCAGTTACATTTTTAAGTTATAGACTGTCTTAAGGCTATGTATTTATTATTTAGAAAATATAACTTACATGAATATTTTCTGATGGACATAATATTGACAAAATATACATATATTACTTTAACAAACTGCCATGCAACAAATACATTAAGTTATGAAGAAATTGAATATATATGACCTAGTCTAATCTTGACATTTACATTGAAAATTTACAACATAAGTAATACTTAGTATGTTTTTTTCTTATATTTGGCAGTAGTTTCATTTTCTACAATTTAAGTTTAAAGTTTCTGAATGTGAATTTGGCGAAACAATACTTTACCCTAGTCGGTGACAACCTGAGGTACAAAACATTTTTCTCTTATTTCACTATCTTCAAAGGTAATTTTTTTGTTTCTTTTAGGGTCTATCCAAGAGTTGTGAATTACAGCATTGTTAGGCATGGGATCAGCTTCTACTATGGAAACAACTCGCTTTTTCATTTTACTTTTCAAGACTTTTTGAAATTTTTGTCTAGTGAATGCATATAATAGAGGGTGAAATATAGTTGTTCCATAAGCCATGACTAGAAAACACAACCTTAGTTTTACTAAAAGGTCACTTGGGCCTAGACATAAAATGGTGGTATTTAAAACAGAAATTGGTGTCCAGCAGAGAAGAAATGTAGAAATAATCAATAAAGACATTCTGAAGACTCTTTTTTGCCTTTCTCGTCGTTCACGGTGTCGTTTCACAGCTCGCCGGAGGGCAATTATTACAGAAACCGAAGTTCTTACACCAAAGACGACATTTCTCCCACCACTGCTTTTTGACATGTCTGTAGTCTCATGTTGTGTGGTTAGAGAAATAGTCTTTTTTTTCCTCGCTTTCTTCTTCTGTCCTGTTGAAAATCTGGTGCCTATTCGAATATTAAGAGCCTGAAGTATTTTGGTGTATGTGATTAACATTACTATGACAGTGAAAAAGAATATTGGAATCTGTACAAGCAGATGGTAATACATTCCCAGTTCAGTGTAGTATTCATTTGTACTGACACACAAAAGTGTCTTGTTTTCCCATGTATTTCCACTTTGAAGATTGAAAAAACTTACCTCAATAAAGGGAATCAGGAAGGAGAAAAATGAAAAAATCCAAATGGATATCATTAACATTATAGCTCTGCCCATTGTCAGAATTCGGTTTGCAGGTTTTACAGAGATGTCATATCTGTCCAAAGTGATAGCAAAAACGTTGATCGCTGTTGAGACACTTGCAAAAGATACACAGGCCTCGTGGAAACAGCAGATGAGAGCAGTGTTACTTTCCAGTGAAAGCAGAAGGATAACTATAGTTAGAGGAATACATCCCACACAAATTATTACATCAAGTACATGAAGATTCATTGTAATAATGTTACTGACAGAGTTGATTAAGTTGGATTTCATGCAGTAAAGAACCAGTACGGTGAGGTTGCTGCCAAGTCCCAACATGATTTCTAACATAAGAAATCCAGTGAGAGATGCTTGAAAGCTTAATGGATATGATAGTGGTTGGTACATATTGGTGTTGATGTCATCAATGTCATCTCGAACTGTAATGTTAGATTCAGACTGCATGTTGATTTCCAGAATGGGAGAAAAACACATTCTTTTGGAGCAGTTGTTTTTTTTCCCTAGGAAGTGAAATAGAATAAACTATTTGATTATTTGGCAATTTAAATGAGGTATAAAACGTGTTCTTTCTAAAAAAAACACACACACACATATCTTTTTTATTGTGTACTTAGTTTAATTTTTAAGTTTGTAAGTTTCAAGGTTGCCTTATTTTGATGTAAAAGGAAATTGGGTTCTCTCTTTTAAGAAATAACTATGTGGTTCTATAGAGTTCGAAATTATTTCATATACTAAGAACATTCTCCTCATTTGAGTTTTTCAAGCTTATTATTTGAGACACAGTATATTTTTGTATAATAAAACTACCCTGTATGCAAAACTACTTTTAGCTCAGTGTTTTAAGGTTTCATTTTAAAAGGTTGTGAGTAGGTGGGAAATAAACATTGTTTTAATTTGTTCTAGTGTAATTAGTGTAGGTGTAATTATTCACATGAGATTTCAAATGAACAGGACAGGGGTTCATTGAAAATGATAACTGGCATAGAGCACTAGTTTACTTTAAATTATTTTGTTCATATTCTTGATTGAAATTCATATTCATAAGTCAACAGTGTGATTTAGGGATATTTGGAGTTTTTTTTTTCCCCCCACAGAAGTATACAAAGGATAAATATTTCACATTTTGTAGTTAGAATGCTCACTGAACTTTATAGTGGACAAGCTTATGTTATAAAAACTGGTAGAAAAAAGACATGTTAAAGTAAACATGCCATAAAGCTTGGGACAATAATCACTCCTATGAATGATTAATTTTGTGACCACACCCTCCTGTATCTTGTAGAAGGAGAAAATTGAAATTTAATATCACAATAAATCGTTATGTTTGAAGTGGTTTAGAAGAATATATCAGTTGATTTTATTTAAAGCAGAATTTTAAAAATAAATGAAGCCTGTTTTCTGAGGAATCTTTTAAAGTTACACATACCCTCTGGAACCTTTTATATAAATCACCCTGTGTACAGTTTTGAGGAAACTTAAAAAACAAACTCGCTATTCATGCAAATCTATATTTTAATATATAGAGGTTTAGAGTAATTTATAAAAATAATGTCTGATTTTTCTGGACTAAAATGTCAGTAGCCCATAGTATATTAAGTAAAAATATAAAATCATCCAACCAACTATATTTCACATTTTAAGTACAGTATTTTGATTGCAAAATCGTAATCAAACATAAATTATAAATGTTAATGATTTTCAGAACTTATGTTTACCTTTCACTTGATGTAACCTTTACAAGTTTTAGAATATAATTTTAGTTATGTATATTATTTTAGAGGTAATATTTCAGAAGTACAAATGATAACAATATAATTTCTTTTGAGCTTGGTATAAAGTATTACTAGAGGCACATATTCAAGGAAGTTGAAGGTCTTAGCTAACATTGAAATCCTATAAAAATGGAAAATTTTAAGTGTGCCAAATGTTCTGAACTGACAGATTAAACATCAGTTCTTTGTCACATCATTTAGATTTATAAGTAAATAAAGCAGAAACATCAAGTTAGGTGATAATTAAGAAAAATGCATCTCCTCTAGATTAAGATTCTTTTCTTTTGTAAATCTTAAACAGTGTGGTGGAGAGCATGCATCTTCTGACCTACCTGTTTGCTGTTGCCTTATAGGCCTTTTGGCTCACTATAGCAGTTTTTCACCAATTGATACATGATGTCATTGACAGATTTTGACATGAATTTTTACCTGACAACAGTGAAGTAGCTGTGTTTTATTTCATGTCTTGTAGGAATTCTTTCATTTTCTCTCCAATACTTGAACTGCATGAATTGTGAGATTTAGTTGGCTGATGAATTTCTAAAGACCAGTACAAAATATTTTGGTTTGTTTTGTCTCAGAAAGTCACGACCAAGAGAAACTTCTTCAAATTATAGGAATTATGTTTCCCTTTGCGGGAATATATGATAGCGTCTCTTTATTTTCCAGAACATGTGATAACAAAGAATGAAAAATAAGGTTTCTAGCTTCTAAAATGTATTTAAGGTAGCATCCTTTTGTTACACACTATTTCTATAGCAGTCTTGATTATTTTGAAATGATTTCTGAGTCACATAACTTGCTTTATATTATAAATCCAGTCCATGTTCTTTTGATAAAAAACATCTGCTATTTAATCTGGTTTCTTTTCATTAGAAGAGGATATATAATTACTGGTAGTAAAACTCCAATGGAAAAGTCCTTTAGTAATATCAATTAATACAAATATCTGAATATTTAGTGCAGAAAGTACTTGCTAAAGCTTCATTTAGCTTGCTGGTAATATATGGCATTCTTATTTTGGCAATCCATGTTTCATTGTTTCTTTAAGAATCAGTAGCTCCACAATTCTGGTATGTTAAAGTATAAACACCTCTTTAAAGTGCTCACCATTTTGTCTTCAGGATTTTACAATTATATTGTTTTTCTTTGTGTGGCTGTTTTATATAGCATCTTCTGTCGATGATTACTGTCGATGTGTTATATCCCAGCAGTAATATAGACCTATACTCTCTGGTTTTAACTCCTTAGTATCTTAAAATCAGATGTTACAAGAATATCCTGCAGTTTATGGTTCAGACAGCTAGGGAGATAGATGCTCAGTCAAATGCATTCTTCATATTTTCAGTTGGAAGTACTGAATTAGCTGCTGTGGGCCCTTGTGGGGGGAAAAAAAAAAAACATGGTTAAGAAATAGGGTTCCTAATAATTTCTAATTAATTAAAAGTTACTTTAGTTTTGTTTATTTTGACACTATATACAGTATTTGTTATCAGAGTAATAAGCAAATTGTATTTTTATAGCCATAGCTTATACATAAATTTAAGGTTTCTTTAATTAGAATATTATCTTTTCCTAACAAGGATTGTAAATTTAATAACAGAATTAACACTGCAAATATAACCATGAAAGAAAAGCTGTATTTTTTAAACTGATTTCTGCTCTCACTTTTTAAGCTAACCTATATTTTCAGAGATTATGAGCAAGTAGCTTATACTAAACATACTGTCATTCCCTCATGTCTTTATAATAAATTTAACAATATTTCCTGCTGTAAATATTGTAGCTTGCTCTGAGTATTAGTCATGATTTGAATTTTAACTGATTAGAACAGATTTTATGGTAAGATATTATATATTTCCATTAAAGAATTGTTCATGTGATTGAAATATAAAAGGTAAACTGCAAAATATAACTGCAAATTAAATTATTTTCAGTGACCAGGCCCAATGATAAACTTAACCAAAAATTGAGTAGTAAATAATATCTAAATAGTAAACCTGGTTCTTTTAAGAAAAATAAGCATTTTGATCCCTTGACAAAAACTGTATTGATGACATTAAGGTTACTTGGTATATCTGAAGTGACTTAAAAGCTGATGTCTTCACAGTGAATCAACAAAGAATATTTTTTGTGTTTAACATAGCATCCTCAAATTACATATAAAATATACCATGTCTTAAAAAAATAGATCTAAATGATACATGTTTAACAATAAGTAGAATTAAGCAAATAAACTCTTAAAATTTAGGCTGAAAATTTTCAAAGTAATCTTACCCACTATGCCGGTTCAAAAGCAACTGCATACTATAATAAGGAATCTTACCTCCGCTAAAGATTTGATAAATTCTTGATGTAGTTGAAGCATTTCCAGTTTTGATTGATTCATTTTGTTCACTTGTCAGTAGAGGACTTGGGAAGAGGGTCATAAACATTTCTTCGAAAAGACCTTAATGAAAATATGTGTCTGTTCTGTGCCATTGTTTCAGCAGTACTGCTAATGTATGGAACGGGTAGTGCTGCTTAGAGGCTGCTGCAGTCTCTCACTCTTCCTACTGTGGAATCAATAAGCGTCTGAAAATACATAATGAAAGTAATTTAACATACAGAAGGTTTCTTGTCTCCAGAGACAACATTTAGATTCAGTCTTTCTAAAAAGGAACAGTACCGCTTTTCAGAGGAAAGCCTGTTCTGGGCAGCTTTTGCAGAATGACAGCCTACCCTGTCGCTGCTCTCCACTGCAGAGAGATGCAGTGCATTCACTAATTTTGATTGGTCAGTTGTATTGGGCTTGAACTGTGCTTCATATGTATAGCAGGATACCCTTGTGCCCCCCACCCCCACTGTTTTTATATAAGGACGCTTTTAAAAAGGCTTTATTTATAAGTGGTTGTATGTTGCTCTTAAATAGAATATGAGTAAATTTGTCCTTTAAAAATGTGTATTCTATTCTGATTTGTTGTTTATTTATGCCAAACGTTAAAAATGCAGGGAGACGGGGTTAAGAAAGAATTCACATAGTAAGAATATATATTCTTTTAAAAGCCTGGATAATTGCACTTGAGAATATTTTAGCTATATATATATATATATATGTGTGTGTGTGTGTATATATATATATATATATATTGTGTATATATATATATATATATATATATATATTTTTTTTTTTTTTTGGTTGAGATTTTTTGTTGTACAAATAGAAAGCCACTGCATCTTGACTGAACCACATAAATGAATTTCAACTAGTTTGTTTGTATTCAAGTCGTCTTCTCTATGTATTCCAAATTGTGAACACCTCAAGGTGTTAAATATTTTTCTAAAGTTCAATTTCTGTTAGTGTATACATATTTAATTGTGTGCATTACTTTTGTGGTTACTATTCGGTCTTCACCTTTGGTAACCCTTTTATTCAGTACCCATATACTGATCATTTGCCATAATATTTTATTTCAACTGGCTATTTCTGTTTTTAACTTGGGCATTTTTAATGAATTGATATGTCCTAAGTATTCTATGTAGCTATATGCTAATGTTATTGGGTAAATATATTAGTAAGGGGAAAAGGAAGTTAGTAACAAGTCTTCATAAATTATAAAACTAAATTATTCTGAGATAGATATGCTGTCAAAAGAGTTTTAAAAACAGTATAATTTATAATTAACATAGAATATTACTTTGAAGTTAGATTTTTATTAACTTTGTTCACCTATAAATAATTCTCTGTTCTCAATATTGAGGAGTATATAAAGTATCTGTTGAAAAAATAGACTAGATATAGGACAAATTGAATTTTAGAATATTGATTATCACCTATTTCCCTTATTTTAGGAATATTAGTGATCATCTTCATTTTTTAAACTGTATGTTAAATTTTAAATTTGTAATTGGAATTATTGTTTGTAGTGTGTAAGCTTTACAGGGCACTGACTGATTAGTATATAAGTTTTTAATTACATTTCTGTAGAAGATGAGAGTAATGTGGTAGAAATTTTTGTTGTGAATTACTAAAATTTTCTGGACAGCTTGTGTGGCAAAGCTTTTGGTAATGCTAAAAATTAAAATGTTGTGCCACTGTTGATGCATTTTGAAAGGTGGAGAAAAGGGTTTTGTTAGGATGCCATTCATGTTGAAATGTAGTGTTTACATTCCCACAAACTTGTTATTTGCAGTTTAAAATTAAAATCAGAGAAAAGATATTCGCATTAATTGACAAGTGGTGGGGATGAGAAATAGTTAACATAATGAAATAAATACAAGTGCTTTTCTGCCAGAGTTCAAGCATTTACTTGTATTTATCATTAAAATATTTCCATGAAATAGAAGACAGAGAAGTTTAATGACTTGAAAAAGTCTAGGTAAGCTAGTAACAGAGGCAATGTTAGAACTCTGAAAACTTCCCTCTACCTGTAGTTGGCCTTCTCCTTTTAGAAGATTCTAAAGGCACTCAGGACTTCGTTTTGGATGATCTGGGTTTACAAATTACGTATTACTTAGTTTCATGATTTTTGGTAAGTCAAGCATTTTCTGGGTCACAATATAGCTTTGATTTTTTTTGTTGAACAGTATTTCTGTGCTTTAACTCCCTGTGAGGCAGTATTTCCAAGTTAAATTGAGACTAGTTTGAAAAAACAAGTACTGGGACCTCTAAGAAATGATGGCAGCAAAAAAGCTCAGGTCCGGACATTGTTCTATTCCACTTGCAAGTGACTTGTGATTAAGGATACATAGTATATTACAAACAACAATTTTTTAAACACCACAAATTGGTTTTGTGATTACCTGGTTCTCTTAGCAGGATAATCCTAATTTACGTTGTCTTTAACAAAGATGAGAATATCTATACCTCTGTATTGAAAATCAGATGATACTATATCATGAAAAAAGTTTATATCAAATTACATGTCAGAATTTACAAAGATTATTATTTCCATAGTAACAGATTTTCATACTTGTGCATTTAGTGTATTTTGTATTCATGCAGGATGCTAATTTGAAAAATGCTACAATTGGTGATTTAAAACCAAATTTTGTTATCAAATATCTATAGATTAATTATTAATTAGTTCTTGAATAACCTGGGAAAGCAGTTTAACTTTTCTAATGATAACTAAGCAACAGATAAGAATCTAACCCTAAATATCTCTATTAAAATCCTTTTTCACAAGTTATGTTTACCTTTTAGTTATAAATAGTTTGATTGAATTTTAATTCCTAAAATTCCAGATATGGGAACCTTTAAAATTTAATTTCATACATTTTGCCCCTTAACTTTGGACAGTGGTGAATGTGAGACAGTACTTCATTGTTTACATTTACATTGTACTCTTTATATCAGATCCCTCTTACCTAGTTTATGTCTAGTTCTGATACTACATTTTTTATGATTGTGAGTTTGTATGTAAAAAAACTCAACTTTACAAAATATTGGAATGAACCACAATTGAAAGTGCTTTGAAACTATTTACAAAGTATATATTAAAAAGCTGTTTCTGCCCTGGCCGGTTTGCCTCAGCAGTTAGAGCATCGGCCTGCGGTCCAGAGAGACCTGGGTTTGGTTTCTGCTAAGGGCAGGTACCTAGGTTGCAGTTTGTCTCCGGCCCTGGTTGGGTCATGTGGGTGGCAAACACTCGATGTGTCCCTTTCACGTCGATGTTTCTCTCTCTCTCTGTCTCTTCCTCTCTTCTCTCCCACTCTATCTGAACAAAAAAACGAAAAAATGTCCTCGGGTGAGGATTTAAAAAAAACAAAAACTGTTTTTAATTGCTGAAAAATCACTTTTTAATTTGTATTGCGTCAAGGGTGCTTTTTAAATGAATACTTAATAAAGCTAACCCTCAACTCTCTCTGATATGAGAGCCCAAGGAAGAAAGGAGTATTTTGGATTAAAGCCAATTCAGAATTTTTATTTGGCTTCTCATAAATTTCTTTCACAACAGATGTCTTATCAGAAAAATAGAAATGGACTGTCTGCTGACACCTCCATCAGATGGGGAGTAGCCACGGTCACTATCTGCAGGAGAATAATAGGAAATGATTATAAATGGATGAAGTACATGCACCAAAATTCTATAATATTTAATTTAATTTATTGGGGTGACATTGGTTAATACATTTATATAGGTTTTTATAGAGGTAATTTATAGAGGTAAAATTTCATAACACATCATCTATATACTGTTTTGTGTGTTCACTACCCTAAGTCAAGACTCCTTCCATCACCATGTTTTTTCCAATTACCCTCTTCTATCACCCCTCACCTCCCCCACTTCCCCTCTGGTAATCACCATACTGTTGTCTATGAGGGTTTTTTTTGCTTCAGTTTTATTTTTTGCTTAATCCCTTAACCTTTTTCACCCAGCCCTCCTACTTCCTTCGCTCTGACAACTGACAGTTTGTTCTATGTATGTGTGAATGTTTTTTTCTTGTTTGTTAGTTAATTTGTCCATTAGGTTCCATATATAAGTGAAATAAAATGGTATTTGTCTTTCTCTGAGTGGCTTATTTCTTTTTTTTATTTTTTCATCCTCACCCAAGGGCATTTTTTCATTTTTTGTTCAGATAGAGTGGAAGGGAGAGAGAGAGAGAGAGAGAGAGAGAGAGAGAGAAACATCGATGTGAAAGGGACACATCGAGTGGTTGCCACTTGCATGACCCCACCAGGGCCGAGGACAAACTGCAACCAAGGTACATGCCCTTAGCAGGAACCAACTGAGGTCTCTCTGGACCGCACGCTGACGCTCTAACCGCTGAGCCAAACCGGCCAGGGCTGAGTAGCTTATTTCTTTTAGCACAGTACTCTCCAGCTCCACCCCTGCTGTTGCAAAAGGTAAGATTTCCTTCCTTCCTTCCTTCCTTCCTTCCTTCCTTCCTTCCTTCCTTCCTTCCTTCCTTCCTTCCTTCCTCCCTCCCTCCCTCCCTCCCTCCCTCCCTCCTCACCTGAGGACATTTTTCCATTTTTTGTACAGATAGAGTGGGAGGGAGAGAGAGAGAGAGAGAGAGAGAGAGAGAGAGAGAGAGAGAGAGAAACATCGACATGAAAGGGACACATCGAGTGGCTGCCATCCGCACGACCAACCAGGGCCGGGGACAAACTGCAACCAAAGTAGGTGCCCTTAGTGGGAACCGAACCCGGGTCTCTCCGTACCTCAGGCCGAGGCTCTAACCGCTGAGCCAAACCGGCCAGGGCGATTTCCTTCCTTTTTATAGCTGAGTGATATTTCATTGTTTCAATGTATCACAGCTTTTTTACCTACTCATATACTGATGGACGCTTCGTCTGCTTCCAAATCTTGGCTATTGTAAACAACACTGTAATGAACGTAGGGGTACATATATTCTTTCAAATTAGTGTTTAAGATTTTTTTGGATAAATTCCCAGAAGTGGAATGGCTGGGTCATAAGGCAGTTCCATTTTGAATCTTTTGAAGAAATTCCATACTGCTTTCCACAGTGTTTGCACCAGTCTGCATTCCCACCAACACTGCACAAGGGTTCCCTTTTCTCCACATCCTTGCCAACACTTATGTTTGTTGACTTATTGATAATAGACATTCTGACAGGTGTGCAGTGATATCTCATTTTAGTTTTGATTTGCATTTCTCTGATGATAAGTGAATTTCATGTCTATTGACCGTTTGTATATCCTCTTTGGAGAAGTGTCTATTCAGGTCCTTTGCCCACTTTTAATTGGATTTTTTGATTTTTTGGAGGT